ATCAACAACATTATTCTACTTCCACATATGTGACACCACAGCCAGTTTCAAATGTAAAAAAAACAAAAAAGAGAAGAAAAATTATTCGATTGTTATCATTATTAGATTATTAATTATTGTCCTTGACAGAGATGTATTAATCATTGTAGATACCAACGGAAGAGTATAGACAATCGAACAAATATTCACCTAATGAAATAATTTATCAACAAAGTACTCAACCCTTGCAACAATACACTGAATATCAGCAACAAATTAATATCCCATCGAAAAACATACCAACTATTTATAATTCACAACAATCGATTTATCAGCCAGAAATAAATGTTGGTAATCAGGTGCAAAGCTTTCAACAAAAAGCTATAACGCATAAATTTGTCAAAAGCCCGAACAAAGGTACGATAATAGGTATATCATTTATTTTTTCAATTTATAAATGTTATTATCTTATTTACTTTTCGTATTTCTCCTTACAGACAATTTTTATATAGATATTCCAATGGGCCATTTTTTATCCTATTATCCACATATCGATCTGAGTAGTTTAAACGTTGGAAAAGTTCAACCCTCATTTCAGGAATTAACGCAGGCCCAACAGATTTCGATTCCCTTTTACACTCCGTTATTGAGTCAGAAACAATTGATCACTCCGGTGAAAATGGCTTATCAAATTTTACCACAGTATACCCTAAGGCAATCTATTCCAGTATCAACCACGTTATTCCCTAAGGTAATCATTCATTCTATAAGATAAAAGTCTTATAAAACATTCTAGACAGATTAAGATATATCTCATGTTTCGTATTACATTGAGTTGGCCAATAATAGAGAAATTTTAAAAAATTTATATTTCAATAAATAACATTAATAGTTTTTATTGAATATATTCGATATTTTACATATAAATAAATTTTCTATTGGAAAAATGTTTGATATATTATATTTAAATGGATAAAATTGTATAGCATTTTTTCTTTTTTTTTTTTTTTTTTTTTTTTTTTTCTTTCATTGACAAAATTTTTATTACTTTATGTCTGAATAAAACAAAAGTATTTATCCATATAAAAATACATTTTATGTTATGCGGATTATTTTCTTCTCTGTAAGATTTTTAATATTTAATATTTTTTTATATTGAAAATTCTAATAGTACTTTTTTTGCCAGCCCCATTATATATGATTAATATTTTTAAATATTAACTTTAATTATATCTACATACATTTCTATGTTATTAGATATAATTATATAAGAAACATTATACGTAATAACGTATTTAGGCTTGGAATGTGTTAATAGCGAATTAATATGATACGTTTGAATTATAGTTCTCGAAAGGTCCGATTTATGCATCGATTACTTCAAAGAAACCAATTACACCAGTTTACGAACAGCCAGAACAATCATACACTCAAGGAAAACAATTGTTATACACGCAAGCTTACATTACTCCGTCACAACATCAACAACAACATCAACAACAACAGCAACAGCAACAGCAACAGCAACAGCAACAGCAACAACAACAACAACATGTTTCTCCAGTAATATATAATCAAGGCAATGCTCTTTACACGCAAACGACACCCCTTCAGGGAGATCTTTACGTTCGATCACCAGTTTACGTTCAAGATAATTCTCTTCATGGCCAAATAAATCAATATAGTGGTCAAACGGAGCAATCGTCGTATCTTTCGTCAGGTACCGAGCAACAACTGCCGAAACAAATCTTGCGTCAAGAGGAAAGCCAAAGCGTAACTCAAAATTACGTCAAGGTTCGTTAATATAACTTTGGCAATCCTCTAATAAATAGTTTCGATAGATAGTTACTCAAAAGGAGACAAGAATATCCAACTAACGAAAGATAAATCATTTATAATAAATGTGTTGATGGAGAAAGTCTGTCTGTAACGGCATTAGTCTCGTTATATAACATGATTTATAGAAAGTTATAGGTCAGTTAAGATATCAAGATCAGATGTTAAACGTATAATTTTGAAAATAAATAGAACACGTTGTAGATGATCTTAAGATAGGGATTATAAATTAACAATTGAAATTAAGATATTTTAACTTCAATATTGAATATATATGGGCGTTATCAAAATTATTATTTTTGTAGGTTCCTGATGAACCAAATACAGATTTTGTTCCACCGCAAGTATCCCATCAGAATTTCAAATCAGACGTCACTCAATTGATACAAGTTTCTTCGGAACCTGAAGAATCTCCACAAGTCAAAGAGCATGTCGTTAGTTCCGAACCACGATCTTTATTGGATACATATATTCCGAGTAATCTGATCGCTGCACAAGATTCGTCGAGGTAAGTTATGCGAAATGTTATTTATGTATATAATCTTTTTCTTTTTCTTTACGATACGAGCTTCTCGTATTACGTGAAAAAATATTTCAATTTATTTTTCCTTTTCTTTCTTTCTTTCCTTTTTTTTTTTTCTTTATTCATTTCTTTTTTCTCGTTGAAATCTCCAGATACCGAGAGAGGCCGTTGCACTTGGAAAGCGGCTTTCTTCCTTCGAAAACAAATTTTGTGCAATACAAGAAACGTAAGACGCAATAATGGTGTATACATTATAGGACCATCGAAAAAAAAAAGAGATACATATTATACATAGATATATAAACGACTAACGAACTTCGAAGAGCATCCGATTTTGATATTAAAGAAAAAAAAAGAGAAAAGAAAAGAAACAAAAGTTCGTTTGATGATATCTAATAAATAACTTTATCGTTTTATTACGACGAGCGAAACGATCATCTTTCGAAGATGTAACGGCTCGCAATAAAGAGAAGCAACATCGTATCTAGTCCCTCATCGAAAATCACAATACGTGTAATTTTTGTATTCACTTTACTTATTGTTTATACGCATGTGCGTATATACGCCGTGCATTTTTTTTGTCTTTTTTAAATAAAGTACAATAAACTAATAGATATTAACTTATTCTTCCAAGAGCTGCATAAATGAAATTTTTAAAATATTGTAAGTATAATGATTAACAGGAGAAAGTACGTGAAACTCTCTAGTTAGTTCCGCCCCTTTACAAAGTTGATTTCGTTCCTACAAAAATAGTCCTGCTCCTTCAAAGTTCAACTAACAAAGTTAGACTGTCCACTGTCTAATTAGACACGCCCAATAAAATAGTTAGACACGCCCAATAAAAAATTAGACACGCCCAATAAAATAATTAGACATGCCTAATAAAAAATTAGACACGCCCAATAAAATAGTTAGACACGCCCAATAAAAAATTAGACACGCTCAATAAAAAATTAGACACGCCCAATAAAAAATAGACACGTCCAATAAAATACTAGACACGCCCAATAAAAAACTGGACACGCCCAATAAAAAACTAGACACGCCCAATAAAAAACTAGACACGCCCAATAAAAAGTTAGCTACGCTCTCACAAAATTTAGATATACCCTCATCAAATAATAGTCACAACCTGTCCAAAATTAGCCACGTTCTCTTCAAAGTTAACCCGATTCTGTCTAATAAACCATATTCCCTCCAAAATTAGATTTGCCCCCTCTCTAGATAACTTCTCTAAGTTATCTCTAGTTAATCTCCGAAATGTATTTCTTCTAAAAAGGATTGCGAGTAACTGTTTTTCCTTTTATGTACTCGTTGTCCTGGACATACGCGTTTGGATTTGGAGAGAAAGTTTGAAAAATCTCTTGGATTTTATTACTCGTGTGCGTATATCCTTCTCGAAACAAATATTATATTTATTTGTTTCAACTTTGAAGGTTAATACAACAAATAAAATTCATTTGAATATGTCAATTAAAAAGTACTAATTTATTTTTCTTGAATTGTCAGCAGACAAATTATTATATAGGATAAGTACTTACATACATACATACAATTGTGATGTTAATCGAGTATGCTCTTCGATGCATAGAAAAAATGTGGATAGTGTAAAATTTCTATTTCTATAGATGTAATCTTATATGTCAAGATGCATATCACTTTTATTTTTTCCTATTTCTTTTTCATTTCATCCAGATTATGAATGAGATAATTATATACGTAATACTAAATTTATTTTATTGAAGATAATTTAATATAAATATACAAAACCATAATACAGAAACGTAACGTCAATAAAATTTTGCATATCTAAAACATTATTGAATATTATGGTCGCGATTTATTTGGTAAATTGTGGAAAGTATACGATCGAATTGATTATTGATAGTAATTAATTAAACACATTGCGAAATATCGAAAAATAATTACAGAAAATTTCATTGTAATAAATAAAAAATTGACATGTTTAATCGAGTTTTCGATAAGGATTATCGAACCCAATAACAGGAAAGTACCGACGTTATTAATGTATATGTAAATATAATATTTATGCGATTGGTTTACAGTGACAGCGTGTACGTACGAGAAAGCGGATATTGCGAAGATGAGTCGATGGTATATAAGTTTCTTTCATATCCTTCTATTTTGTACAATATTCAATATATCCGTATATTTTCTCTTTTCATCGATGCAAAATATATATGTAACACTGTATCATTACGATGTATCCTTATCATTTTCTTTTTAATATACATATATATATATATATGTTATAAATACGAAAACTCGACGATCTTTTCTTATCTTTTTCTAAAAAATATATATTCAAGTTACATAAGTTGAAAAACTTCCTATCAAATTTATTATTACACATTTTTAACGAAATATTTTAACAAAAATTACGTACTTTGATTTATCTAACGATAAATAATAAATACTATATATATACATATACACACATATATATATTATATAGTTGAGATCTGTCCTATATGATGATAGATACGCTACTGGCAGGTATCTCTCGCATGTATCGAACGTGAATAGCGGTCGTCTTTACCGAGGTGAAACTATAATGATGCTGTCCTTCTCGCTCACGAAGCGAGGGCATATAAGGTGGGATGCTGTGGCCTCCGCTTCATCAGTACCAAACAAACACACACGTCAAGTCCACCGTGCCAGTTAAGTTTGAACACCATGAGGCTTGATAATATACACGTAAGTGCTATATTATTTTTAAATTTCATTTTCTATTGATTTCTATTTTCATCGGATAGTATACAACGAACTTTCTCTAGTGCGTATTTTAATTAAATCGACATTGAAACGAATCATTGCTTTGATATGTCTCTTCAACGTTTTACATTTATATTATTATATACATATATATTATCTGTTAAAATTATTTTCGATGTACGTACACGTACAACTCAACAGTATTTATTTGTGTATCATTAAACGATCACTAACGAAATCAAATAGGTAACCTATATAGTAAATCTAATAAAGCTCATCCGGGGAATCATTTAAATCATTCGATTAACATTTGTACATTTCGGTATTCGATTTCGATGTAATTTCGATAGACAAATTGGAATTTCGAACGATCAATAAATATTTATTTCTACTATTTATTTCATTCCCCTTTCGAAAAAGATCATTTATTTATTTACGATTATTTATTTATGAATAGGGGCAAAAGAATAACGTGTATACTTGCAACATGTATAGCACGTAAATACGAGAGAATAATTTATACAAAAATATACATATATTTTTTCTCTTTTTTTTTTTTTCTTTTTTTTTTTTTTATTAGGACAATCGATAGATAGTAATTATGGTGAAAGTGTTTTTAATTTTCGTTCGTTTGTGATGTGTATATTAGTTCGATTTAAAGATAATTGCCAGAAATATAGTAGTTCTTGAGTAAGTCAGTGAAAGTCCTTGAGAACAGAACGAGGATTCTTTGACACAAATTCGAAGATATGTTTTGTTAGGTAACGCATAAGATCACAGTAGACGGTCCGAAAGAAGCTGAAGTGAAACTCGCTTAAGAAACGTTTCATTCGTCAATCGGATGTAAAATTAAAATATCCCAAGTGTCAATTCTTTACTCATTCATATTCGATATTTACAATTGTATTTTTTTTTTTTTTTTACCGTTTCTCTTGCACAAGCATCAGGCATTTAGAAATCTGATATTTATTTAGAAGATTAGTGGATATTTTTGTAGAATTAAAATTCTTTTTAAAATACTTTATAAATTACCAATTATAAGCCATCACAATTTCCAATATATTTATCGTGTAGTATATATATATATATATATATATATATATATATATATATATTTATACGTCCGGGAAAGAAAGTGGTGAAAATCGCAAATGCAATGCATGAAACCTGTTCTCTTCTGGAGGTGACCTGTACGACGACCCTGAGCAAAACCCGGATGAAGTTCACGTCCTTTCTTTTCAAGGCCGTGGGCAGAGTAGAGACTGGCAGTAGAGCGCGTATAGAACAACGATATCATATCTTACGTTTTATCTTTAGATATTTTACGAATGGTTGATTACAATGTAGTAAAAAGAAAAGAGAAAAGAGAGAAAGGGAGATAGAGAAAGAAAGAGAGAGAGAGAGAGAGAGAGAGAAAAAAAAGAAGATATCTGGAAGGATCTTCTACGAGCGCTTACGTATTAAGTAGTGAAGTCCGGTGAAAGTAAAATTACCATTAGCAGAATATATCTAACTGAGATCGATGACCATCTCTTAGTTAAAAGCATGACGTTTTAATTAGAATTGAGACAGTTAAAATTAAAAATAGTTGACTGATATAATAAATATTTTTACATCGTATTAAAAGCGTAGAACTATTAAAGATCTTTTACAATTTGATTTTGAATATTTATTTAGTAAAAGGAAAGATAAGTTTTAAATAATTCATTTTAATATATACCTACCTGGATTACTTACATACTTTTTATTTTTATTTCTTTCCTCTCTCTCTCTCTCTCTCTCTCTCATTTTCCAAGTGAAAAAGAAAGGTTTACTTTAACATAGGAAAGTTATGCTCGTTCAACTAGAATCTCTCGATTTCGCGGATATTAATCGTGATTTTCATTTTCAGATTTTTTCTTGCGTTCTTCTTACGCTCGGATTTATTATCATAACGGAGTGTACGAAAAGAAATCATAAAGATACATTGAAAGAATTGAATGAGAAAAGGAAGAACGATTCTACGATTATCGAAGAAATTTTTAATGCAAGGACCGAAATAGAAGATAATAAGGAAAATGATCCACCGCCTGAAAAAGAATTACCTATTTTGCCACCTTTGATACTATTGGATTTTAATAATGATACGATCGATGCTAATACAACGAGCGAGGAGAAATCTAAACGTACGGTTAATAATAATTTGGGTTATGGATTTCAAAGAAATTCATTGCTTATGGGAAAGACTAATTATTATTTTCCTGCTGGTAAAACTGGAACAATCGTTAGTATCGAGGAATCGATTAGTCCATTTTTACCAAGAACGATAATCGAGAAATATAATCCAAATAATCAAAATCTAAAGGAAACTAATGGATTTTCGAATTTGCGAACATCTCAAACAAATTTCGGATCAAATACGAAAGTTGAGAAAGTAACAAATTATTATGACACGTTCGATTCAAATTATCGACGAAAAAATGAAAGATTATCGTCGTCGACTCCTTCTCCATTTTCCGTTTCGTCGAGCACTCAAATACCACAGAATCATTTCGATTCGAAATCCTCGAGATATTTGCTTTCGAATTTGAATATTCCATCGTATCAGTCCACCAACTTCAATACAGATTTCAATGGACAAAGAGGAAATATATTTCGTCCAACTGTCCAAACTTACGTCGAACGAGGTCAAAACGTATTTCAACCTACCAGTACACCAACTACAGAAATCGATGACTCGCAAATATTTAGAGTGGACTATACTCCTCATCGATCTGGCGGACAGTCACCGAATTATTTTGAATTAAAACAAAATGATTTTCGTGGTATGTCTTCTTTGAGTCAGTCCAATCGTCAAGCTTCTAATTATAATGACGTTAATTCTCAAACATATAATCAACAAAAACAAAATAAAATAGTTTCAACTACGGCAAGTCCAATTGATATAAATCCACAAAGTTACAGACACTTACAGAACATTTTTAATCCTAATGCTAATCAACAATTTTACGAAGGGCAAAGACAAAATTTCGAAATTGCGTCGCGAGATTCATTGATATCTAATATTCCAGATTTCAATGATAATAGAAACAATTATCGAATTTATACAGAACAACGACAAAACGATCGACCTATATTTGCAACACCGAGCTCAATCGATGAGAATTATGAATACGTCAAAAATCCAACGACTCTGGTAAATCTACCAAGGTATACGATAGAAAATGGTGTACAATACAAGAATAAAATATTTTGGAAATATCCAGATGGTAGAATATCTCACGATCCACCGGCCACTTACGTAGAGACTTATATCGGTGGCTCAACGGCGAGTCCAAAAGTTTCGAAACTTCATGAAAGTTACATTGAGACATCTACAGAAAATAGTGCCAATGCTCAAGGTCCAATACAGTTTCCAATTGCACCGGAATTACCATCGGAAGAAAATCCATTTGTCTCGTCAGATTCTTTGTCCTCTAATTTATCGCATCAGCAGGCATATAGAATAGGTTATCAGAATTTAGTTAGCCAAAGACCAAACGTATTGCTGGCACAGAGAGCAAAGATGGAACTTACAGCGGCCACAGCTTCTTCATTTATAAACACAACACCTTTACCAGTTACCAAGAGACCAACATTTTCGAATAAAAATAACCAAGATCGTAATCATTTTTCAACGGGTTATACTACCACGGTAAAACCAGTCTCAAGATATATGGTCGATGGACCAAACGCTGAATACGTCGATACTACCGAGTCCTTATTCAAAGGCAAGTCAGGTGAGTTGTCAGCTCACGTTTTAGCAAGGTACACAAAGCGGGTTCAAAATTATTTGAAAAAAATATTTACAGCCAATGGTGATTCAGGAAGTAAAGCCAAGCAGAATAACAAGAATCTCAACGAGTATAACAATCTTCAATATTCGGATCTTCTTAGCTACAATCCATCTATATCCCAATATATAAAGGATCCATCATCAATATTGAACGTTCGACCGACTTTCGTACAAGCTGGAAATTCTTTAGTACCTGTTATAATACTTAGGATAGACGGTACTCCACCGGTTCAACCTAAACCTACGTCTAACATCAATCTAAAAGCTCTTCTACAAGAATATTTAATACAATATGCTAACAGTATAAAAGAATTAGCTCAACCTACCAATTATGAACTTGGAGCGGAACAATTTAGTCAAACTCAACGTACGATTCAGGCGGGTAATCGTTTATTGCAATTAGCACGAGAAACGCAAAATGAGAACGACGATTCTTTTTCGTTATCTTCTTCTCCTTCATCATCATCTTCTTCTTCTTCTTCTTCTTCTTCTTCTTCCTTTCTTTCACAATCTTCTTATCCGGTTGCGAAAAATTACGAAGGAAATATATTTCTAATGGAAGAAGAGGAGACTCGTCCGATTGGTAAGTTCGGTGATCGTACCCACGTAAGACCAAAAATAAAGAGCGTTCAAATTATCGACGATCGAAGATATACCAGTTAAAAATTTTAACTATTGTAAAATGTGTTATCTGTACCTGATAACGAAATTTTCATATCATAGTTATTAATAACTTTGACGAAAGAGGAACTTAACGAGGAATTAATCGAGGAATTAATCGAGATAATTAATTTTAAACGAGAAACAATGGTTTTCGGTGGAAGCGTTTTATAAAAAAAAAAAAGAAAAAAAAAATGACGAAAAAAAAAGAAAAGAAAAAGAAGAATAATGACATTAATTCGTACGATATTAGATTTCTTTTTTTTTTTTACTTTGATTTAATATTTAACAAGGGATTGTGCAATATGGCCTCTATTACGTGTATTACATTTCTACAGATTAATTTATATCGAATTGATAGAATAGTTAATCCAAAACGATCATTGTCTACTACAATTAAACCAAATGACGAGTACGGGCCAATACTCGAATATTTGACGTACCTGCGTATTGATTTATTTAACAGAAACTACATTTCTACGATGAATCTATTTTATCGATTTTATATATTTAAATTTAAACGAGGAAACGAGGATATAACACCAAACAGCGTCACTTCGAAAAGGTACCTTGTAGAAACTTAGTTAGTAAGAAAAAAGATTTCAAATATATGATGACAGTGGTTGCGAATTATTATTATAAGTTGTTGTAAGAAAGTATATATCTTCATCTTATTCGTTTTCTTTTTTTTTTTTTTGTTCCTTTTTTTCCTTCTTGCATTTTCATCTTTTCTTCTTTTTTCTTTTTTTTTTTTCTTATCGTGAAAGTCACGTCTCTCTCGCAATCTTCCTATTCACTTGACGTTAATAATTGCATGCGAATGAAAGGGACATGATTGGGAGATATAAGTATTATTAATTAAGGATATTGAAGTATTATTTAAATTACATTGAATAATTAAATATTTATATTAAAATTTTTAAAGGATCATTAATAACGCGGTAGATCCTTAAGTTTTGACGCATACAAAAAGAAGAAAAAGAAAAAAAAAAAAGAAAAGATCGTTGTATAAATATTTAAAAATTTCCAATTAATTGTTAATCAAGATTAACAAAGTATATCCACATTAGGCTTATCTCATAATAAATATAAAATTATTCAATAAAAATTGTGCGTACGCGTAATTGCAAATAAATAATAGATATATCATTGGCATTCAGTTGTTAATTAAAATGTTATTTACCGCGTTTTATCAAGTAGACAAGCAATTAACATTAATTGTCGGCAAAAGAAAATATAAGAAAAAAGAAGAAGGAGAAAAAAAAATGTTTCAAGTTGGCAAAGTGATTGGTAGATTTTAATTCCACGTTTTCACAATAGCAAGAGCTACCTGAGATGATATCTCTTAGAAAAATCTACGAAGCACGAATTAGCTAAAAGCAATTAGGTAGGTAGTGTCTGTATTAAAATCGAAGAAGTGATTGTACGAGTGTTAGTAAGTATGAGAGTGTAAGTGTGCGCACAAATTTTCACACTGACAGAGAATTACACGTCTCTTTGAATTACACTTAAATTATTAAAAATCCTTTCCATCGCACGTAGAACGTGTTGCATCGGGAGGAGCGGGTGCATCGAGCATAATGCGTGTGTTCTAGAGCGCATAAAACTACGAATTGAAAAAGTATTGACCGTTTAACTTGTAAAAATTTTCTTTCAATCAAAGTTTTTTTAAAAAAAGAAGACACATTAATTTTTATTAATAAATATAACGTAGAATATTTTCCACCGTGAATAACAATGAATAATATTTGAAAAATATTTCACGATGATCCTATACGCAATCATGGATATTTAATTGTATCCGTTCGTACGGCAATTATATCGTTAAAAATTTTATATCATTTTAATGGTTTCCATACTTAAGTATGGAAACTCGTGTTTAAATGATCGTTTAGTTATAAACGACGATATCTTATAATTGAAACACACCTATTTCCGATCTTCTTTCTGTAATTTCTTTTCATATGAAGTATTTGACATACGTATATACTATATATTTAGTTATCCCATGTATTCCATATAAAAGAGGAATCGGACAACATTTTTCCAAGCGCGGTCGCGTGTCGCGAATGAAAGTATCTTCTGTGTGTATGGTGCTTCATAGGATAATATTTAGAACGATATTTTTCACTTGGTTACCAGAGTGTATAAAGAAAATCGCGTATCTACTATGTGGCTCAGTTCTCGTGTGGTTCTTTACCTCGCAAGGTCCTTCTTTTCGAGTGTCTTATTTAAAGTAACAGAACATCGATTTGTACTTCGAGTACGTTGTGATAAGGTACCTTTTGGAGTTTAGTTTATTATCTTTTGAATGGGAAGAAGCTACCAGGAAGATTGTAGGAAATGTTTTTATATTATGTAAGTAAATAAAAAAGAGAGAGAGAGAGAGAGAGAGAGAGAGAGAGAATATCTGTGTATATGTGTGCACTATCGACGTTATCGATTTTATTTGTTACATTTAACAATCGAATTCTATGATCTTTTATTATTCCATAATTATATTTTACGATTAAGATTAAATAGAAAATAAAGAGAATAAAAAAGAAAAATTGGAAACTTTTGTATTTGATTATTCGCATTGTAAAATGATACGCGACAATTATAATTGGACTTTCTAAGAACTAATGAACATTCTATCCAAGTAATTTCGTTCGCCGTTCGAACGAAAAATAAGAATTTAGAATGGAGATACATGGAATTAGAACGGCGTGTAATTATGGTAAAGTGATAATTTCTTGTATTAAACAAGAGAGAGAGAGAGAGAGAGAGAGAGAGAGAGAGAGAGAGAGAGAAAAGAAGAAAAAAGGAAAAGGAAAATTAAAAAACAAAAAAAGAGAAAAAAAAAAAGAAAAATGTCTGAAAGAATTATTTTTTTTTTTTTAAAAGAAGACATATTCCACGCTTTCGGAAAGCGCTTCTATGTTATACTATGTAGAAAGTTGTTATATGTATCTCTCTCGGTAATCTAATTTATAAGGAATGAGCATCGCCGCTATGAAATGAATTCTTATGTTCGCAAATTGGTAGGAAAGTCTATGAAAGATTTGCTCTTGTGCACATCCAGTACTTGTACATATAGAGAACACGCATCGCTTTTGCACATTTTACTTTTACAGTCTCCTTTTATTTTCTGGGTCAAACCCTTGACTTTCCACTAATTCCCGTAGATGATCGTTCCATTGAATTATTATTTCAACGTACTTTCTTCTGTCTTGTTTCATTTTTTACTTTTTCTCCTTTTTTTTTCTTTTTTTCTTTCTTTTTTTTTTTTCTTTTTTTTTTTTTTTGCTTTTTCTTCTTCTCTTTTCCTCTCATTCGCGCTCGATCAAGCAATAAAACGTTACGTCATTGTAATAATCGCTTCTTCTTCTTTTTTTTTTTCTTTTTTTTTCTTCTCAACACAACACTCAATGTCGTTCGTTTTTCTGTATGAAATTTTTTCAACAGATCGTCGTATTGTTCCTGTATTGGCCAAATGCAAGGGGAGCCACTGACAATGTCGTATCACAGGATGAAAATATCTACGATCAAATTGCCACAGCTTCGGAAAATATAAGGACTATCGTTAAGACTGTTCCACCGCCGATCGATACTTCCATTCATTATGAAAATTCAAATGGATTTGTACCAATGACACCGGCTAATGTTGTTACATCGAAATATCAACAAGGAATCGAATTTATTCAATCCACTACGTTGGATCCTATAAACGTGTTCGATGATCAAAAAGAAAATTCTACGATATCGACGGTACTTATTCATAAATATAATGGGAATCTTTTGAAAAACATTGAAAAGCTCGAAAATGATTTAGTTGAATCACCGGAAGCAAGAATATTTCTCGATTTACCGCATTCTGGTACTAATCGTAGATCGTTTGAATTTCAAGACGATCAAAATATATTTGAATTGTTAAAGGTACATAACGATACACCGGCTGTAGCTAATTATAATGATTTTTATGATAATATAGAAGATTTAAGCGACGTTGATGATACGAACGAGGATGAAAATTTATCGATGATCAATGAAAATAAGAACGATCGAAGAAAGAGAATTGGTAGTTATGCGACGAATTATGATACCGTGAATGAACAAAGTGCCAACGAGGAGGAGGACGTTTATGGTCGTTATCATTCTTACGATGCTGCAAAAGATGAGAAAGGAACGAGTCAATTGCCGGAGAAAGTAACGAGCAATTACCATCAGCGCAATACCATGAACTATAACGGTCATGGGCAGAGTACTATCAGGCAAAAAATAACAGAGACATCAGCGACCTCATCAAGGACGAACTATGAAGACAATGAGTCGAATAGAAAAAGTGAAAATAATTATGATAGTTTGGCATCGTCCTCGAACGTTTCAAAAAATCGACATAAGTTTACGAAGCCAGTAGTGGTCGTTGAACCAAACCATTATCAGATTGAATTGAATATTGATAAACAGTCAAGCAATTCCCCGAGTACTCCATCGACGGAAAATCATTTTAAAGATTCCGATTCTGTCGCTGCTGAATCATCGAATATGTACGGTAGATATCATCAGGAAGCAAGAGGACGTAGTTACATTCGCGATGACTCCAATGACGATTCCAATGATAGCATGGATTATATGGATTATACCGAGAAACCAATGAGAGTACATAAAACCAAAAGACGACCTTACAACGTAGGAACATCAAGAAGATTACCGAAGGAACATCGTACGATGATAGAAGACAGTATGGAATCGGAGAATTATAAAAAACGACCCAGTTCGACGAGATTGAGATCTCATCGACAACGTCCACAGTCAACAACTTGGACGAATGACAATAAAAATCGTAATGAAGACGATAGTAACGAGGAAAAAGTTCATGAACCCAGAATGCATGTTTCCAGTTCACAGATAAAACAACAAAAGTCCCAACAGCAATTGAAAACAAGGCCTAATAGTGGATGGAGTCAGTTAGGGCCAAACATTGAAATCTCTCATTCGAATGGGATCGAGATTAGCCCAATAGAAAAATCAAATCTCGTTATACCAGTTGGCCTTATGTCAATAGCTAACTTTGATCATGCCACTGCACTTGGTAACAGTCAAGGATTTGACGTTTCCAATGTGCTTTATCAAAATATTGTAACACCTACACCAATTGGTACAATTAGCACAGGTACTACTCCTATTATTGGCTCGCATCAATCCACCGTAGGTCAGAACGTAGTGGCAACTTCAAACGTACCA